CCAGACTTAAATCCTGGAGGAATCTAGCCCAGAGATATATTTTATCCCTATTACTTATTTTAGCCCAAGGTTGGAGATTGTTTGGGGGTTTTAAAGCTTATATTTTAAGTTTTATCCCATGAGTTGGAGATGGTCTAGGGGGATAGAACACCCCAAATCTACTCACTAGAAATGTTATTCATATTCAAAGTTTGAAACTTTTTACTAATTACATAGAGTTGTGCTCTCTTGATCACCCATGATAAGGATACATTGTCACCCACTTTTGAATTTGATATCAAAGGCTGGGATCAAATATCAGAAGTACATGTATTTATTGTTCACAGTTGATATGAAGTCCAATTATAAATAACCATGCATTAATATAATGTATTACATGGGTTTTTTTTTTTTTTTTTTTTTTTTTTTTTTAATCGTCACAGTTGATATTAAGTCCAATTATAAATGATCATGCATTAATATTTATGTAATTATATGGTTTTTTTTTTTGTTTTTAACCGTGAGATTAAGTCCAATTATAAATGACCATGCATTAATATTTATGTAATTATATGGGTTTTTTTTTTTTAACCGTCACAAGAACAATATTCTAAATCCGCCACCATATATAAGATATTTTTTGCATTTACTATTGTTGACGGCGAGAAAGAAAAGGGAGAGGGGGACACCTCATGCAGTATAGGGGCTGAACCTTTAATCGTGCATTATTTAAAAGATCTGTTTAATTGCACATATGTGACAAGAATTATTATATTTTTTTTTCTCTATTGCCAAAAAATTACTCTGTATAGATTCCAGGATATCTCAATGTCATTTTCACAGCTGAGCACAAAAAGGAAATCTTGCGTTACACATACGACCATCAAAATGAAGATGGTGGCTTGGGATTGCACATAACAGGGCTTAGTATGATGTTTACTACATTCCTTAACTACCGTACGACGCCTATTCTCGGAGGATGGCCCTATGGTGGTGCCTACTATTCTGCATCATGGGGAAAAACTTGGATGGTGGTGCTATAACGTACGAGTTGATTTAAATAGTAGTATGTCATACTGCAAAAGGATTTTAAGGAATGTGTCTTAAAAGACATTTTATTGTTCAAATGGTTTAACTTGTGTTGCAGATTCTTGGTGTGTATGACTGGGAAGGTAGCAATCCAATGCCTCCAGAATTCTGGACTCGGTCTACTCTGCTTCCTTCTCATCCACGTAAGCACAGTTTTCTTCCACACCCGAGTTTCTTGTTGCTCAAGTTAAATAGTTACAAGTCTTCTAACTGGTACTACCTCACATCTGCAGCAAAAATGTTCAGCTACAGTAGGTTGACTTACCCACCTATGTCTTACTTTTACGCCACCAGATTTGTTGGCCCGATCACTCCTCTTGTTGAGGAATTGAGACAAGAAATTTACTGTGAAATTAACAGGCCTAAAGTGCGCCATTGGTGTGCAACCGTGAGTTTACCTTTTTGTTCCTTACATAGTTCATGCTATTGTTCAATTTTATTATGTTCTTAAAGAAACTTGTTCACATACATAAAGGTGCTGTGCTATGCAATGTTGACTAACGCAGGAAGATAACTACTATCCTCATGGTCCTGTACAACGTTTTATGTGGGACAGTTTTTATAATATCGCCGAGCCTCTCCTAAAACGCTGGACCTTCAACAAGATCAGGGACAACGCAATTCAATTCACAAATGACCAATTTCATTATGAAGATGAGACCAGTTGCTATATTACAATCGGATGCGCAGAAAATCCATTGAGGATGCTTGCTTGCTGGGCCTAGGATCCTAGTGGAGAAGCTTTCAAGAAGCATCTTCCTAGACTTACGATTATATCTGCCTTGGAGAGGATGGAATCAAGATGCAGACTTTTGGAAGTCAGTCATGGGATTTTGTTCTTGTGATTCAAGCTTTGCTTGCTGGGAATCTTAACTGAAATGGGACTTACCCTTAAGAAAGCACACAAATTCCTCAAGATATCTCAGGTACATATTCAAGTCATGAAACTGTCTTTGACATACTAAAATGTGTGGAGATTTTCTGTTGACCTAAAAATACACGTCCTATATGCTAATTAGGGCTTATCTTGGGGTTTAATTTTCTGATATTATTCTTCTCATTAAGGAGGAAAATATATAATGCACAAGATTGATTTACAAGGAAAGAAACATCAAATAACACCCTTCCTAATTACATCCTGATTACAAGGACCCAAATAGGTAACTAACTAATTACAAAAGGTCAACTCTCCAACACTCCCCCTCAAGTTGGTGCATAAATGTCGTTCATGCCCAACTTGACAAGAGAGTTGTAGAATGCTTGACTTGCAATAGCTTTAGTTAAGATGTCTGCCAATTGATCCTCTGACTTTACGAACGAGAATTGAATAATATTCCCATCCAACTTCTCCTTAATGAAGTGTCTGTTAACTTCCACATGTTTCGTGAGATCATGCTGGATTGTATTGTGTGAGATATCAATAGTTGCTTTATTATCACAAAACAAATATGAGGCCGACTTTTAAGGACACCCGAGCTCAGCAAGTAACCTCCGAAGCCATAATAGTTCACATACTCCTTTTGCCATACCCTTGTATTCTGCCTTTGCACTTGATAAAGCAACCACTTTTTGTTTCTTACTCTGCCAAGTCACTAAATTTCCCCCCACACATGTAAAGTATCCAGATATGAACCGTCAATCAGTAATGTTTCCTACCCAATTTGCATCGATATAGCCTTTTATTCGGCAATGATCATTCTTGGAAAACATGATGCCTCTACCTAGGGAGGACTTTAGGTATCATACGATGCGTTCAACCGCACCCATATGTGTATCAGTCGGAGAATGCATAAACTGACTAACAACACTTACTACATATGCAATATTGGGCCTGGTGTGAGATAAATAAATTAACCTCCCAACTAACCTTTGATAACGATCTCTGTTAGTGGGAACTTGATCTGGATGCATGGCAAGATGGTGATCTTGGACTATGGGGGTGTCAGCCGGTTTACAATCAACCATTCCTGTTTCAGCTAATAAGTCTAGAACATATTTTCTTTGAGATAGAAATATACCCTATTTAGATCGAGCTACTTCTATCCCCAAGAAATATTTCAATCCACCAAGATTTTCATCTCGAACTCGGTTGTTAGGTAATCTTTTAGCCTTGAGATTTCTTCTTTATCATCACCCGTAACAATCATATCATCCACATAAATAATAAGTGTCATCAATTTCCCTATTCGATGTTTCAAGAAAAGTGTATGATCGTCATTGCTCTGCCTGAACCCATATTTCCTCATAGTCGTCCGGAACCTACCAAACCATGCCCAAGGTGATTATTTCAATCCATATAATTCTTTATTCAACTTGCACACTACTTAAGGTTGTGAAACTGATGCATAACCAAGTGGAATATCCATATACACTTCTTCCTTAAGATTACCATGTAAGAAAGCATTTTTCACATCAAATTATTGTAATGGCCAATCTAAGTTGGCCGCCAACGAAAGCAACACTCTTACCATATTAATCTTCACTACTAAGGTAAATGCATCTGTATAATAAACACCATACGTCTGAGTGTATCCCTTGGCCACCAATCGTTCTTTGTATCGTTCAATAGACTCATCAACTTTGTACTTGATGGTGTACACCCATCGACATCCGACTCTTTTTGTTCCTCGAGGTAGTGGAACTAAATCCGATGTTTGATTTTTCTAAAGTGCATCCATTTCTGCCTCCATTGTTGTGGTTTATCGATCATCAGATAGTGCCTCCTTCAATGAACTTGGTGTGCTATCATTGGATATTTGTTGTACAAAAGTTTTGCCAGGTTCCAATAATTTTTGTGACGACACATAGTTGGCAATGGGGTATTTAGAGTCTTTCGTTGTTTCCGATGAATATCGATTGGGTGGTTTTCCCCAGTTATGCCTGAAAGGTAATTGATAATTCGGAATATTGGATACATCAATAGGGATAGTAGAGCTTACCTCAGGAATATTCTTAGGAGTATGTCCATCTGGTGGTACTATATTTAGAGATAAGGAGGGAGTAGTATCAGTAGAAGTCTGAAATTGGCAAGTGGCAGCACTGCTGTCGTGGGTGAGGACAACACTACCGTGCTTACCATTGGTTCTATGGGTAGCACTGTTGATGTTGTTGGTTGGGCTGGCAACGTAGCCGTTGTAGGCTCAGCTAGTGGTAGCGGAAGATCAATGGTAGCATCCATGGTCCAATCCTTCTCGTCATGTAGTGTCTCCCCTTGAGGATGATGATTGGAAGAAGCTGGAGGGTAATACATCTCAGACTTTGAAAAAGTAACATCTATAGTAACATACATTCAACGTGAAGAAGGGTGGTAGCAACGGTACCCTCTATGATGGAGTCTGTACCCCATAAAAATACAACGAAGAGCACATGGGTCAAGTTTCATCCGTTGATTTTTATGAAGATGAACAAATACAACACATCCATAAACTCGAGGTGGAGTACCAACACAGACAGTAGATGCACGAATGTAGCAAGGATGTGTAAGGGTGTAAGAAAATCCAAGACTTTGGATGGCAGACGATTAATAAGATAAGTGGCAGTTTGAAGAGCAACATCCCAAGATGAGCGGGGAACATGTGCCCTAATCAAGAGTGAGCGAGCCGTTTCTAAGAAATGGTGATTTTACGCTCAGCTACCCCATTCTGTTGAGGAGTCTGAGGACAGTTAGTTTCGTGAAGAATTCCGTGATTAGTTAAATAATGTGAAAAATCGTTATTAACATATTCACCGCCATTATCAGAACGCAAAATTCAGATTTTAGTAGAAAACTGTGTCTAAACCATGGTGTGGAAGGTCTTAAAAGCCGAAAAAAAACATCACCTTTATTCTTAAGACGGTATAACCATGCCATCTGTGTGCAATCATCTATGAAAGTTACAAAACACCTAATACCAGATGAAGTAGTAATTGAAGATGGTCCCCAAACATCCAAATGAACAAAACCAAAAGGAATAATACTTTTATTAGAATTCAACGGATAAGAAACAAGATAACTCTTGGCAAGTATGCAAGTGTCACATTTTAAGTCTAAAATCAAACATCCAACAAATAAATCCGGAAACATATGCTGCAAATAACTAAAAGATGGACGACCCAAATGGTGATGCCATAACCATATCTGACATCGCTTGTGATCAAAGGCTCATTGGGCAAGATTGACCCGTCCTGTATTGACATCATCCACAAAATAAAGATCCCCCCTCTTAGTACCGACCAATTATCTCTTTTGTGAGAATATCCTGAATAAGATAAAACTTTGGATACATTAGCACACAACAATTCAATTGTTCAGTAGCTTGGCTAGGAGACATCAATCTATGTTTTAGTGAAGGTACAAGTAATGTATGAGGCAAAGAGAGAGTGGACGTGAGGCGCATAGTGCCAGTGCCAGTTACCGGTCAGGTGACACCATTATCATTAGTAATATTACATAGAAGTGGAACGGTATCACACGCTAAATCAATGGGATTATAAGTCATATGGTATGTGGCACCGGAGTCAATGATTCATCCGGATTGTGTATCATCACTATTCATATTAAAAGCATAACCACGGTTACCTGAGGACTCCAGAGACATGTCGGAAGAACTCGAAATAGGAGGAGGATCATCCTGAGATATCAAAGATAGTTGGGATACGAAGGTGGCAAGATTGGCTTGCCCAAGCTAAGCTTGCTCGTCTCGTTCCCGTTGTTTCTAAAGCTTTAATGGTTCCCACCAATTAGGATAGTCGTGCAATTGAAAACAATTATTGCGGCCCATGCTTCTCACTACCGCAGTAAGTACAACCACCAACCGTAAAAAAAAGTCAATATGCCCTACATATGGAGAAATTAGGTTTTCATCCCTCTTTTTTCTATTCCATTGATTAAAACCTTATTTCTTTGTAATTTTTTTATCAAGGTCCTTAGGCTTTAATGAATGGCATTATTTCAATATACAACATAATTACATTAAATTTCTACAATATTCATTTAGTGTTAGAAAAATTACATCTGGTATATTTATATTTTATGGCTAAACTTTGTATCATATATTTATAGTTTTAGTTTATACCCACTTTTAATTTGCAACCCTTTTTTAAATCTGTACTACTTTCTTTTTAGTTTTAATTTGTACCCATGTATTAATTTCTTTTTGTGCCCATATTTTTTAAAATTTCATTTGTACTTATAATTTTTTAATCATTTATTTGTACCCTAATTTATTTATAATGGAATGTATCACTTTGTTATATGTGAAATGTACCAATTTTTTAACAATATGGATACATTCTTTTGCTATTTATTATTTCATATTATTACATAGTTTTTATCCATTCATTCAATCAAAATGTTTGAATTTTTTTATTGTAATCGTTTCTAATAGTATTATAATGAGAGATTTTAAATTTATAGGATTATAAATCTCATAAAATGTCAAACAATTAATGTCAAAACTATAAAAATATAAATATTAATAGTAATATAATAAGGTGTACATAGTCAATGGACTTTGATCAAACTTTAAATACCATTAAAATTTTAGTCAAAGAGTATTAAGAACTAGAGACAGCATCCAACATATATATCCTTGCAAAGACTTGGGCCTTAAAATTAACTGTAAAAAAATAAAAAAGGGGGAAAAAGAAAGGAAGACATGGATTACTAGCCATTTAGAGAGATTCCATTTTCTCGGACTAATGAGCACGTGAACTTCTTTTTTCTGTTTTTTGGTGAAATGCACATGATCTTCGGTTGTAGAAGTATGTTCGGAAAATCGACTCACTTTGATCTCTCCAAAAAATAGTATATACTTGTCGCACTACGGACCAAAATTAGAATATAACATAGTATAAATTAGTAATCACTCCAAGATCAAGAAGAATCGACTCAAGATCCCTTGAAAAAATAAAAATAACAACAAATCTAGGAACCTCTACTTTCTGCATGTTCCAAGCATCAATGAAATTGTTCGAAAAATGATCAAGAAGTTGCGTCCAAGGAGGAGCATATATATGCTAGCTGGACAGGCTATTCATAGTTGACTGCAAACTGGCAATGGATATTTATTTAATCTACATGGGTGTGAAAGAGTTGAATATTGTGCGATTGCACATGGATAATGACATGATAAAGACTAAGTGACACAACTTATAAAAATTAAAATACACATATTGGAAACTAGTTAGAAAGAAGTGGGTAAAAGAAGAAAAAAAAAAGGGTAAATTAAATAATAACCCATCAGGTTTGAGGTCTATTACAATTTCATACAACATCTTTAAAACATTTCAATTTCATACCTCACGTACTATTTTATTTCAAAATAATACATCCGTTAGATTTTCCATTCATTGGTCTGTTAAATGCTAACGTGGCTGCTACATTTGTACTGATGTGGCTACCACGTGGCAAAAAATAATTTTTTATACATTAAAAATATTATAATATTAATCCTATTTAAAAAAAAAAAACTAGAAAAACCCGAACCCATATCAGCACAAATGTGGCAGCCACAAAAACCAAAAAAATAAAAAAATTATAATAGGGTTAATATTATAATATTTTTAATGTATAAAAAAATTGCCATGTGGCAGCCACATCAGCACAAATGTGGCAGCCACGTCAGCATTTAACAGACTAATAGATGGAAAATCTAACGGATGTATTATTTTGAAATAAAATAGTACTTAAGGTATGAAAGTGAAATGTATTAAATATGTTGTATGAGGTTGTAATAGACCTCAAACCTGATGAGATATTATGTAATTTACCCAAAAAAATACTTGCATCCATAGTGGTTCGTGCAGTTATAATTGACAAATTTTCGTTATGTACATCATATTTGGAATTGTTTATTTTTTATTTTTTATATCAACATCAAATAAATGATCAGTTTATCGTGGAAGTCTTAATACCAAAACGTCTTTGATTGATAATTATGATAATATATAGATTCAATACAATATACGGTAAAGACTAATTTATATTATCACATCATATTTGTTGTCTCTAGTTAACCCAAAGTATTGTCCAACAAATTATGCAACCGGTGTTTAAATATTCATGCAATGTAGTTGGCAACATTATCATGATATAAGGAATATAACTAACTGATAAATGCTAAATACGCTCTTTTGAAAGTGAGACTCTTCATGGATTATGTTAGCTCATATTTTTTACACAATAATTTATAATGTTGGAACAAAAATTGGCGTTAAACTGTGAGATGTCAAAGAGCATATTGAGAATTCTACTTTAAGAGAATCTCCTCAATATTTTTCTCTATTTCTCTATATTTTTCTAACTATATTTGAGACGGACACTAATGTAGAATGGGTCTGAATTATTGATAAATCACCAACCCACAACGGCACAACCCAACAGAAATTAATAAAAGATAAAGTAGTACACATTGTCCAAATAGTGATAGAGATATACTTGGCTTTTTTATTTGGAAGAAAAGTCTCCACTCATAGAAAACAAGAATTAGTTATTTGGAAGAAAAGTCTCCACTCAATGTGTACATTGTCTCACGACTTAGAAAACAAAAATTATTAATTTTGATATGTTCTATGAAGGGTATTGTGAACAAATCAACGAAGACATGCTACCCCCCTCATCCACCCACCATCACCTTGAACAAAAGTATTGCTTGTTTTTGGGTTTCTCCTAATTAAGTATTATTCGTATCTCTCTAATCTTTCGATCAATTTTTTCAAAGCACAAGCATTTTTTTTCGGTAAACAAGCACAAGCATGTGAATGATAGATACGGCCGAGCACCATTTTGCAAACCCAATAAATGCATGAGAGATTGATAACAATTTTGCAAACCCAATAAATGCATGAGAGATTGATATTTAACAGACTTTTCGTTTGGCTAATGATGCAACAAGACATGGGCTGTGTAAATTGGTTGAATAGTATCACTTAATATTATGGTATAAGTGGTATTCGTTCTTATTTATAAGTGATGTATGTTAAGTTTGATTCTTGTAATAAAGACTTCATTGTATATTAAAAATAAATTGCTTGAATACTGTTTTCTCCTAAATGAAAGGGATGCAACACTGTTTTGGGAAATGGTGATCAATATCCCAAATAGATACAACTTGGTTGTTAAAAAAAGAAAAATATATACAACTTGGTAGTTAAATCCGAAGTCAATTCCCCAAACCAAACCCAATTAATTTATCCTATTGCAACTTAAAGTAAACTTATTTTTTTTAGACAATAGCTTCTGAATAACAAAAGAAATCACGAGCTTATCAATAAGAAGAGAAATCACGAGCTTCTACATTTATTTTTCTTGCATTTACACAACGAATCTTAACCATTTGATCAACATTTTCTCCCTAGATTCGGCTCCCTTGACCATGATCTTCCCTATTGCACCAATGACCAACTCCTCAACCATCACTTCCACCCTCTTCATTAACATCTTTTGATACACAATACTTATCCCCCACTGATAACATATCATTGTCATACACATTCCATAACTAGAATAATTTACTTCCTGAATCACTATTTAAAGATCATCTTAGCAAAAAAATCATTTAAACTAGAGTATGTTTAATATTCATGTCTTAAAAAACTGACGATTAGTTAAAATCGTTTTTTGTTGAATTACCTTCTACAAAATTTGATTAATTATTTGTTAAAAAAAATCAATGGTGTTTAATAAAATAAATCATCTGATAATGACTTGTGTACAAGTACAATAAGAGTTTAGTTACAACTGGGTGGATAATTAAGTAGGTGAACCTTAGAGTGCATATAAATTGTTCCCTAAGATATATACTAATTCTTTGAATTTTATGCATTTAGGTTTTGGTTTATTAACTTAATAATACATAATGGAACAGCCTGACATTTATAGTTTGAAAATTTGAGTAAACTGCCGATTTGCTCTCTGAACTATCACTTAACTTTCGATTTCCTCCCTGAACTTTTTAATTGGAAAATTAAGGACTAAAACTAATTTTTTTTGGCCGATTTGCCCCTGTTGTTAATTTTTCATTCATTCCATCCAAATTTCTGTTAAATGGAAGCATGTGCATAACATGTGAGGATACTTCGGTCGCTTCATTCTTTAAAATAATTGAAAACCTTGGATTTCTAAAACATAAACCTAAGCAAATATGTGTGATTTTATAGCTTTTGTGTTTGAAGGTCTAGCGAAGTGACGCTTTGTTCACAAAGGAGAGTCATGTGATGTGCACGTGATAAAGTTAACGTTAATTTGGATGAAATCTATTAAATACTAACGGTAGGAGGCAAATCGGCCATAAAAATTAGTTTAAGTCCTTAATTTTCCAATTAACAATTTCAAGAAGAAAATCAAAAGTTAAGTGATCATTCAAAAGGCAAATTGGCAGTTTAGCCTTGAAATTTTTTGGTGCAGTGTGGAAATAGTTCTTCCATCTTTTTTCGAAAAAAATAAAAAATAAAAGTTAAAGCTTTAGTTAGCTAGTGTCAGGAATTAAGGCCATCACCAACCAAAGGGTCCAAATGGCCAGAGGGCCGAAAATAACCCAAAAACCGTCTCCAACCGAAGGTTAGGCCAGATGGCTCATGGGCCCCACGGAATTTGAAAGGGCCAAAGGGCCATAGGGCTAGCCCTTTCCAGCTAGCCAGCCAGCCAGCCCCGGGCTGGCCAGAATTTTGCTCAAAACTGTTGGATATAACCGATAGAAATAATTTTTTTTATCGCAGTAGTGTCGGTTATAACTGAACGAATAGTAACGGCTAGATAGGAATAATTTTGATTAATTGCAATCATATTGGTTATAACCGACATGAATAGTATGAAAATTTTAAATACAACGGCTAGCTGAGTCAGCTAGCCATTGTATTCAATTTTTTTTTTTATGAATTTAAACCCTTTTTTTTCTATTTTTAAATTCTAATTTTTTCTATAACTTCCTATAACTTATATTTTACAAAATTTGGTTCATATTTTTTTTTAAATTCTATTTTTTTCCTATAACTTCTATTTTACAAAATTTGGTTCATTTTTTTTTAAATTCTATTTTTTTTCCTATAACTTCTATTTTACAAAATTTGGTTCATATATTTTTTTTAAATTCCATTTTTTCCTATACTTCTATTTGACAAATTTGTTTCATTTTATTTTAAATTCTATTTTTTTTTCCTATAACTTCTATTTCACAAAATTTGTTTCATATTTTTTTCCTATAACTTCTATTTCACAAAATTTGTTTCATATTTTTTTTAAATTATATTTTTTTCCTATAACTTCCTAAGCCATTATACAACATTAAATTAAATTAAGTAACATAGAACAACACTAAACAATATGAAACAACATTAAATAACATTAACCAACAAACAAATTATACAACATAAAAAAAACATTTAACAACATGAAACTTAAACAACATTTTTAAAACATTTAACAACATAAAACTTCAACGCCTACTTCATGCTTCTTTTGGCCCAAAGATGTGCAACAAGATCCTGTTGTAGGTACTTGTTTGTGGCATGAGAACGTATCATTCTATAGCGCCTCATGTACTCATTTATAGAGATACTATCAATTCTTGGATTGAAAGGCAAATTAGGTTCATCATATATTTTTGCACGAGCCCTTCTTGACATATATGAATCTTCTTGGTCGTCATCGGACTCTTCATACATATACCCATCTTACTCATCCTCCACTATCATATTGTGTAATATGATGCAAGACATCATGATGGAGTCCAAATTTTCTCGACTCCACCCTCTTGCTAGTTCGTTGATGATCTTCCACCGTGCTTGTAGAATACTGAAAGCTCTCTCAACATCTTTCTGGTATGCCTATTGGTGTAAGGTAAACAACTTTTTTGCGTTATTCCTAGGGTTTGGAATTGCTTGCACAAGTGTCGCCCACTTTGGGTAGATGCCATCTGCCAAGTAAAACCATATATTATATTAACGGTTGTTGATGTAGTAGTCAAGTTGAGATGTTTTTCCTTCCGTCAAGTTGAGATGCTTTACCTTTCGTCAAGTTATTGAAGAGGGGTGAACGCCCAAGAACTGTAATGTCATTTTGGGATCCAGGGACTCCAAAAAAAGTATGCTAGATCCATGTGTGATATGAGGCAACCGCCTCTAACACAACAGTTGGCTTTCTCGACCTTCCGCTAAAGCCTTCTTGCCATTCGATGGGACAGTTCTTCCAATCCCAATACATGCAGTCTATTGACCCTATCATGTCCGGAAACCCACGGTCTTCAGATTTGTGAATGAGCCGATTTAGATCTCCTTGATTTGGCTCGCGAAGGTACTCGTCTTTGTAAACCTGAACAATTGTGTCATAGAATTGTTCAAGAGTATGAAGGCATGTACAATTAGACATACCATGGGTTTCATCCATCGAATTAGTTGGGGAGCCATAGGCCATCATTCGGAGTGCAACAGTAACCTTCTAATGAGGTGAGAAACCAGGGTGGCCTGCTCTGTCCCACTTTTGTCGAAAGTATGGATTGACCTGCTGGACATCATGAAGTAATGCTCGAAGACATGATGCCTCATCCGGAAGTGACGTCTGAAATCTTCTTTTGTGTACACCGAGTTGGGGTTGAAGTAGTTGTTCATTAGATTGGCATGTGTCATCACTCTATTTCGTGGTTTGTAAGAGCGACCAGCAACAGAGCCACCCCATTGAGGTTGTTCCTATGTTGGTTGACACACCATGGCTGATGCTTTGTTTTGTTTGTTGTGCATTACTTAAACTTCTTCATCAGACTCCTCATCTTCTCGTCTCATTTGCACCTATTTTGCTTCCAATTTGGAATTGGATGAGGACCCCTAGTTGGAATCCGAAGAGGATCCAAAGTTGGAATTCATTGTAAACTTGAATTGAAAAAGATTAAATTGAAAGAGATTGAATTGAAATAGATTGAATTCAAAGTTGTGTGAATTATAGCCCAATATCCACCCTATTTATTGCAAAAAAAATAAAAATCAAAATCAAATCCAACGGCTAGTTGACGTCAACATGATGTCAGCTACCAACAGCTAGCTGACATCACTTTTAAATTGTAGTTTTTAAATAATAAATTATGTTTGGCACTATGGCCATTTGGCCCTCGGTTAGAGATGGTTTTTTGTGACAGGGCTAAAACGAGCCCTATGGCCCTTTGGCCCTCGGTTGGAGACGAAGGCAAATATGGCCATGTACTGTTCATTAAAATATTAATATTGTGGAGGGCCAGCGGGCTAAAACGAGCCATCTGGCCAGCCCTCGGTTGGAGATGGCCTGAGTGTCAAACCCTTAGGCCATCTCTAATCGAGGGCTGGCCAGAAGGCTCGTTTTAGCCCTCTGGCCCTCCAAGATATTAATATTTTAATGAACAATATAGGGCCATATTTGCCTCCATCTCCAACCGATGGCCAAAGGGTCAGTCATAGGGCTCGTTTTAGCCCTATCACAAAAAACCGTCTCCAACCGAGGGCCAAATGGCCAAACATAATTTATTATTTAAATTTAAAAACCACAAAAACTTAAATTCAAATCCAACAACTTAAATTTAAAAACTACAACTTAAATTTAAAAACGACGAATTAAATTTAAAAACTACAAATAAAATTTAAAAACAACATTAACTTGAATTTAAAAACTACGACAACTTAAATTTAATATCCATAATCAACATCATCTTCATCATCCGCCATTGTAGGAGTATAGTCATAGGTAAACAACTGCTGCCGGGTCATAATTTCTTGTTCTTTTTTTTCCTATCAAAATAGGCCTTACTCATTGGAGTGTAATTCGAAGTGTTCATTTCCATATTCTTATCATCCATCTCTTCTTGTATTTGTTTGGCCCGCTCTTCATGCCTACTTTTCCTTTCTTCCGCCTCAAGGGCATTTTGCTCCGCCATTAATCGCAATGAGGCCGCCAGTTCATGTTGAGTGGCGTAATCACCACTTACCTTGCCCTTTTCCTTCAACCTACGCGCCTTGATTCGTCCCATAACACTAAGTATGGAACCTTCAACCGAAGATAGATTTTCTACCCTTGTTTGTTGAATGGTTGGAGATCCATCTTCATCCATATCTGCAGCTAAGGATGCAGTTTCGAACACCGGCGTAGGAGCTCTATGTGGTGGATCTTCAAATAACACCCACCCTTTACAAATTTCCCAACAACTGTGAAATTGAAAGGGTTTCGAGCTGCTCTCCATATACAATTCCTCTGCTTGGCGTACCTAGAAAAAAAAATTAAAGGAAATTAATTTATGAAATTAAATGTAATATAATTAAATATTTAAAATAAATTGTGAAAACACTTACTTCGTCGTAGTAATTAGCGCCACTTTCATGTCTACTTGTGGCTGCTAACAATACTTGATGCTATTTGTTCAAACTTGGCTGGAGATGTTTCTTCCATCTTGAAGAACAACTCTCGTGGTTTCGAATATTTACTGGAGTGGTGCCTTCATAGAACTCTAAGTATTTTTTGGACACACGAGTCCAAACACCGTCATTTGTTTGACAATTCCCCCTCACACTATCTTCCGACACCCATCTATAAACCTTGCATAAAGCTTCATCTTCTTTTCGGGTCCAAGCCTTACCTTTCATTGCAGACGAGACCATTTGAAAATTATTGAAAAAATTGAAGGATAGATTTTTGAAAGAGGAAAGAAAATATGAGAATTGAAATGGTGTAAGAATGGTGAAAGTTTTGTGAGGAATGGTGAATGAATGGTTTAGGTATTTATAGTAAAAAAAATTAAAATTTTTGAGAATTAAAAAAAAAAGGCCCAAAGAACCTTAAAAAAAAAAAAAATGAATCCAACGATAACTGACACCAGTTAGCCGTTCGATTCAAAATTTTTTTAAGCATTCCCGTCATTATAATCGACAAGATTAATGTATTTTCTGGCCAACCCCAGGCTGGCTTGCTGGTTGCATATAGCTAGCCCTCTAGCCTTTTGGCCCTTTCAGATTCTGTGGGGTCCTCTCAGATTTCATGAGCCCTCTGGCCTAACCCTTAATTGGAGACGGTTTTCGGGCTATTTTTGGTCATCTGGACCCTTCGGTTGGAGATGGCCTTAGATTCCACGAGCCATCTGATCTAGCTCTCAGTTGAAGATGGTTTTCGAACTATTTTCAGCCTCTGGCCTCTAGACCCTTCGGTTGGAGATGACCTCAATCCAAAAGACTAATTTTTTTTTTGGGGGGGGGCCGGTCGCGGGGGGCGGGGGGGGAGAGACTAATTCATTTAGTTAATTAGATTATGCACCTATAATCCAACTAAGATTCGTCTGTAGTTAAATGTGGAAGTTGCGTTGTAGTTTTACTTGGTCACGAAGCATTAAGCACACTGCATTTACAGCTTGCTTACTCTGAACTGGGAGCTCCCTGTGTGAGAGTTGGTAGCCCCATCTGACGTCCATTCTTTTCTTTGACATGGTACATCCTCAGCATCATTGACTTCATGTAAACTCACCAACTTTGACTGTGTAATATTATGGGTTTCAAATTTCAATTTATTTAATATTTTTTGGAATTTTTTTTTGTTTCTATACAAAGATGTATTCTATTCTAAGGAAGGAGACATTCTACTCTAGTCTAAGAGGAGAGAGATTACGGCACACAATGATAAATTATAATTAGTTATCGAACTTAACACAAAATTATACGTTATCTTTATTCATGTGAATCGAATTTAAAATCTCTTATATACAAGTACAAATAAATATTACTAGACCCTAAATCATTTTATAAGTATATTAGATAGCTAAACAGAAGCATTTCACTTTTGGGATGTGCTATCCACACATCTTTTTTTACTTCTCACGAGAAGTAAAAAATAATGTGTAGATATCACATCCCTTCACTTTTTCTATGTATATTCTTAATTTTTGTGACCATCTTACCGGTTTCCATGAAAGTGTCAATTCCCCAACTGTTTTATTCCTGGCTTTCACAAATATCTGTACTTGAATCAGATACACGAATCTCTAAATGTTGTTTTCAACGTGTCGATGATATGGTGGTAAAATGCTCAATAATTTGCGTTGAACAAGTCAACACCGCCATTTTATATATTTAGCACAAAAAATTTATCTTGTGATTGTGAAGGGTTCTACAGCTGATCACTAATAAGTAGTCAAACTTTACGTGCTGCATTATTAAATGGCTTTGTTGTAGAATGGCGCCAAGGGGTTCATGATCATATTCCCATGTAGCTCCAAATTATGGCCATCATCCAGTAAAATAAGGGTCTCATTTAAAACCTGTCGTTTTAAAATTAAAAAATATTAACGCTTAGTACTATGGTGTATTAGTATTTTTATTCATTTGTAAGTGAGAAATTTTGGATTTGATTTTCGTCAATAAAGGATTTGAATCACATTAATATGACTAGTAGAGTGTGAGGCTTAGCCCACTCCTCCACTCTTAATTAGTGTAGATAATATTGTCTTTAAAAAAAAGGCTTATTATATTAACACCTCACAAATTGTTGAATAAACCCTACATATCACATTTGCTTTTTCAATTAAAAATTATCTTAATGCATCCTACATATTTTCCCATAATACCCTCCGAGGCCCAAAATAATTGGGGGCACCAAAATTATTAGGGTGATATATTTGTATATGTTTTCATAAGAGTATCAATTTATAAAATTTGGTTCAATGACAATGAAGTTTAACTAGAACTGATGGCTTTGTTGTTTGAAATTAATGAGAAGGTCTTGATTTCAAAACACCATGTGTGCTGATTTACTTTTTAATTTTTACAAATTTCTTTTCATAAGAGTATAAAAAGGTCGTACCCAATGCACAAGGCTCCCGCTTTACGCAGGGTCTGGGAGAGGTGAATGTCGGCTAGCCTTACACCCATTTATGGAGACTTTAAAATCCTAATATAGTCAATTAAAATATTTTAAAGGATTTTATAATCCATTCAAATCTATGTGTAGTCAATTAAAAGATTTTAAAGGATTTAAAAATCCATCCAAATCTAAGTGTACTAAAAAAGATTTTGGAGGATTTCAATAAGTTGTGGATTTTGTGGGATTTGAGAGCAAGAAGTATATATAACCAAGACTAAAGAATCCAACCTTACACCTAGGATTTCAAATCCTTTACCATCTGGACAGTCCTCAAATCTCTACCAACCCCAACCACACAGAGGTAACCACCATATACTTTGGTGGAATCTCTTATTATAACCCTTAGACCTTAATTAGACATGTATGATCATCGAAGGATATGATCGATCTAGGATTTTGGTTAATACTACTCTTTAGCCATTCTGATTTTTTAATGTCTCTGGTACTACAAGCACTACACCACAGCCAGGGGCGGATCCACAGTGGGGTCGTCGGGGTCGCACGACCCCTTGGAAACCATGGAAACAACCTTGAAGCTCCCATACGCGACCTCTTGGAGCTGGGGTCGTCGGGGTCGTCGGGGTCGGAGTCGCACGCCAAGTGTTCGACAAAAATCCTGAACGAAGCTCGGCACTGCAGGAAGAGGAAGAAGAAGCTGCGCGCTTCTTTTTTTTCAAAACATACGGGCAAAACGGCGTCGTTTTGGCCCAGGAAATTTTTTTAAATGACCTGGCCAAAACGACGTCGTTTTGGGCCAGGTCTG